TAAGGGACTTAGAATTCAATCTCAGAGTGTGGCGCATTCTTTGACTTGCTCAGGTACAACAATAAGTGGCTGGATTCTGACTGTACTGGGGAAGCAGTGCCCACAGGACCTGCAGACAGGTTACACGTGGCAGGGGTGGGGGTGTGAAAGAAACAGAAGTCTGAGGCTGGGGCAACTGGGGGAATAGAGCTGCCATTTACAAGGCGGGGGGAAGGGGAGAAGGTTTCAGTGAGGACAAGGGATTTGGGGACGATGGGGAGAAGGATGGTCTGTTTGGGACATAATGAATTTGAGATGCCTAGGGGACACCCCAGTGTTGAAATCGAGCTGGCAGCGGGACAGATGCTTCTGGAACTCAAGGGGAAGCTCACAAAGGCTGGATGGTGCCCCGTGCTCTGCAGAGTTAATGACTACATGAACTCCTAACCTCAGGCCTGTAGCTGTTCATCAAAAAATGTAAAGGAAATAAGCAATTAGGGTCTAGTTAATTGGGGGCTGCTAGTACAGGAGCTGCTCTGCCCCATCCGCACCCTCAGGAGAAGCTGGGACTGGCTGTGAGGCAGTTTCTGAAGGGCTCTGTCACTTAGGCTAACATCAGTTGTGCCAGGCTGGGCACAGTGGCCCACACCTGTAATCCCAGCACTCGGGAGGCCGAGGTGGGCAGATCACTTGAGTTCAGGAGTTTGAGACTAGCCTGGCCAACACGGTGAAACCCCGTCTCTACAAAAAATACAAAAATTAGCTGGGCATGGTGGTGCATGCCTGTCATCCCAGCTTCTTGGGAGGCTGAGGCAGGAGACTCACTTGAACCCCAGAGGCAGAGGCTGCAGTGAGCTGAGATCACGCCACTGCACTCCAGCCTAGGCAACAGAGTGAGACTCCGTCTCAAAAAAAATAAAATTGTACCGGATCCTCTTTTTGAAAAACCAAAGGCAAGGAGTATTGGTTACTGACAGTGTGGCTTTCATAACCAAATCCACTTGGCTCAAAGGCCATGTCTGTCACGGAGAGGGTCTGGTCTGTTGAGCTGTCACTGAGCAAACCTAGAGTCCAAGGAAAAGGCCTGCTTTCAGAGCCAATTCCTGGGTGCAATCCAATTTTGGACCGATTTTTTGTGGGGTTTTTTTTCCTCCTAGACTCCCCTCCCCCAGAAAGCATTTGTCTGTAGACAGCCTGGGGTTCTGAGGTACCAGATCTTTATGGAAATGAACAGAGAAAGAAGGAACGACAAGTGTTTTACAGAAAAAGCTGTCACCAAAGGAGAAGCAACATGGTAGCTGCAGTGCCGCACGAGAATTTAATCACCAGTGAACTGGAGAACAAAGGCATTTTTGACCATAACGTATTGTGATGGCAAAAACCGCAATTATTTTTGCACCAACCTAATAGTATCATACCAGAAAATAGCATTGTTGGAAGGAGAACAAGAGAAAAATCGCAGCCTCTAAAAGAAAAATAGTGAAAGATTTCGATTATGTGGTTGCATATTTTTCTCCCTACTTGGATGGCTTCTGTGATTCCACCACACATTACATGAGACATCTGCCAGTCACCAATCTTAGATTTATGCAATATGGGCTCATTTGCCCCTTGGTCCAAAAGGGCCACTCTACTGTGGAAACCCTTGTTGCCACAGCAGGAAATTTCAAGACATGTCTATTTCTTGAAATGTATCTTGCAACCCACGATGAAAGGCGTGTGCTTTAGATACGCACAGGAAAGACTAGTTTGATCTCTTTGATTGGCTATCACCAGCTACAGAGTGTTCCTTCCCATGGAAACAGATAAAACCGAGGAGAAAAGCATCAAATTATGAATGATTAAAAATGGTCTGTAACCAGCTTCCAATCTACTTGAGAAACAGGAGGGACACAGCAGACTGCAATAACGTCCCGCTCGTGAAAGAAAAAGAAGGAAATTGCTTCTGGTGTGAAAGTGTTACTATTTTAGGTGACAGTCATATTCATGGGTAAATCTGTTATCCGCACATGCTTCAGACACAGATGAACCTCAACCACGACGTATGCTAAGTGAAAGACAGAAGACCACATGCTGTGTGATTCCATTGAAATGAACTGTGCAGGACTGGCAACTCTTTAGAGACAGAAAGTCCATTTGTGCTTGCCCAGGGGCTGGGGGAGGGAGGGGACAGGGAGAATGGGGAGTGAGGGCTTCATGTTTGGGTGATGAAAATGTTCTAAAATTAGATTATGTGCTCCACGAATCTGTAAATATACTTAACACGATCAAACAATAGACTTTCAATGGGTGAATTTAAGAGTACATAAATTACGTCTCAATAAAGCTGCTTTAAAAACAACCCTGCAGTCCCTGATGGTAACACAGTCACCTATAAGTTGAGGCTGAAGGCCTTTTTTTTTGTTTTTATATGATAAACATGACCAAGTAATGAAGAAAGATATTTTAATAAGATGGATGTTCTAAAAATCATTATTGGCATTGAATCCAATATGTGCGGTACAAGAGAAATAGAAGCCTGACTCTTAGAAGATGCAGGAAGTGCCTTACTACGATGCCGTGTGCTCTCCCAAATGAACCTTCACCCAACGCCTAAGTGAAGACGATTCTTCTACCTCATTTCACTGTAATGAGGAGACACTGCCACCGAGGAACAGAAGCAGAGGAGGGTATATCGGACGAAGAGCCTTTGTCTTCAGGTTCCCAGCTGTGCAATGGATCATGTCTTTCCCATATACGGGGCTCTTATGCATCTCCACCTGGATAATACGCTGGTTTAGTGCAGCGATTGTGTCCTCTGTTCCCTGGAGCATTCCTCTGGCTCAGGGTAGGGCACACAGTAGGTTGCCAAGCCACAGTGGCTATTTTTCACTGGCTGCTTTCCTTCCAAGAGGTGTTAAAGGCCTGGATTAGGTGGGTAAGATCATTTAAGCTCCCCAAGCTTTCCCACTTGCCCACGTTGCATCCACCTGGAGAGACGATGTTCTCTGCTCTTCATGGACATTTCTGTAGCTCCCCAGCCATGCACAAAGATTGGTAAACTTCAGAACACAAAAGAGTGCCATCCTTCACGCCTCCTGCCAGCCTGTCTTTTATTACTGATATCTACTAACTGGGCAGGTGTAATTTTAAAATGCATTGGTAAACTTTTTTTTTTGAGACTGTCACTCTGTCACCCAGGCTGGAGTGCAGTGGCACAGTCTCAGCTCACTGCAACTTCTGTCTACTGGGTTGAAGCAATTCTCCTTTCTCAGCCTCCTGAGTAGCTGGGATTACAGGCATGCGCTGCCACACCTGGCTAATTTTGTATTTTTAGTAGAGATGGCGTTTCTCCATGTTGGTTAGGCTGGTCTGGAACTCCCGACCTCAGGTGGTCCACCTGCCTCAGCTTCCCAAAGTGCTGGGATTGCAGGCATGAGCCACCGTGCCCGGCTCATTGGTAAACTTTTCTAGGACTGCTTCCCATGGGGATGGGGAGGTCACAGAACAGGGTTGTTAGACTCAGCGTTGTGGAGGCAACAAGAATCTGCCCTGCATGTCAAGTTGTTAGACAGTGTTTTCCCCCTAGCAGATACTCAGGGATGAGTTCTTGAATGAAGGGACCGAGGAATGAATGAATCTCCATGTCAATCACAAAGAAGAGAAATCTGAGAGTGAGCCTGGGGGGTGTCTGAGAACCAGGAGTATTTCGATCTAAGCCTTGACACAGTCTGCTTAGATTTTCTTGTTAAGGAAAGAGGAGGGGTCAAGGAGTAAAGGAAAAACAACAAAACCCCAAAGCATCTTAAAGTGCTCAGAGTTCCTGGGACAAGCTGTGGACTATTAATTGCAAGGGAAAAAAATCACAACAGAAAATGGGTTTAAATGATCCCTACTTAGAAATATACCTTATGGTTTGCAGAATGACCTTGGAATTATATTGTCACCAGTCTTTCCAAATACTGAGAAATGTGACTTGTAACAAAAGTCATCAGCCTGGGAAACATGGTGAAAACCTCTCTCTACAAATACAAAAAATTAGCCGAATGTGGTGGTGCATGCCTGTAGACCCAGCTACTAGGGAGGCTGAGGCAGGAGATGGCTTGAGCCTGGGAGATTGAGGCTGCAGTGAGCCCTGAAACCAAGAATTCTGATTCTACTTGTGTGAGTTTCATTGTGTTTGTCTACCAGGTCATTTGCAGAGCAGAGAGACCTCCTTCTTCCTGCTTTTGAATTTATTTTCTATAACACACAGAAATACATGATATCCACAAAGAAGACAGTCAACCAATTTCTAACATCCGGATGTACCTGAGAAGAAATTCTGAGCAGAGGTATACTTGAGAATTGAGAGAGGCATGAAAGAATATTATTTCAGAGATGAGGGGGAATTGGAACTGGATGACATTTTAGAGATTTGCCCTTATTTTTTCCTAATTGAAGCATATCACTTCCGCTAGGCTCATACTTAGAAACTGTTAAATGAGTGAGTGTATTAAGTCTCCAGGGTTTCCTGACTCTCAGTTGGATTATGTTTTTTATTAGATTCCAGTGGTACTGGGCATGTTACGTTAATCCATATTTAAACTAGGGTGACCTTACATCCCGATTTGCCCTGGATGGTCCTGGGTTATACCTGTCGTCCCAGCAGAATTATTAATAGTGGCTTCCTCCACTGTCAATAGCGTTCTGGTTTGCAATATTAAATTCTACAGTCACTCCAACTTTGACTCCTAAAAGGTTTCCAGAATATGCTGTATTTTCTCATTCATTGTTGCAACTTACGGCTATTTTATTGATTTTTGAGACCCATCTTTCTTTCCATTGGATTTTAAGCATCCTTTGAACTTTAGAAGGCTCCTCACGGAAGTGGAAAGCCATCTACGTAAAGACAACTGTTATTCATTAATAACACGTATTAGTTAATTAACATGTTGCTAATTAATATTTCTATTATTCGAGTTATATTCCTGTTTATCAATGATATTAATTAAATTACATGTTAAGTATGCAATGAATGTCAATGGTTGAATAGCACATACCTTCATAGCCAAAGAGAAGTAATAACAAAAAGCCTTCTATCTTGTGCGGCATCTTCCCGTCGTCCTCAGCCGAAGCTCTACCTTCCTGAACTGGAGAGCTGGGCCAGGAGCAGGGGATTAAGTTGAGCCCTGACCCTCGTTAAGCATCTTATTCCATTTAGTTCTTAGGTCTTGGGCTGAGCCCCATCAAGTTAACCCACAGAGTTACCTGCCTCAACAAGAAAGTCTCATGGAAGATACCAGCATCAACGGAGATTGGGTTTGTGAGGAAGATACTTTTCATTCTCTTTTTTTTTTTTCTCTGAGATGGAGTTTCACTCTTGTCACTCAGGCTGGAGTGCAATGGTGCGATCTCGGCTCACTGCAATCTCTGCCTCCCGGGTTCAATCTAGTCTCCTGCCTCAGCCTCCTGAGTAGCTGGGATTATAGGCACCCGCCGCCCTGCCTGGCCAATTTTTGTGTGTTTAGTAGAGATGGAGTTTCGTCATGTTGGCCAGGCTGGTCTTGAACTCCTGACCTCAGGTAATCCACCCGCCTCAGCCTCCCAAAGTACTGGGATTATAGGCGTGAGCTACCGCGCCTGGCCCATACTGTTTTCATTCTATTTTTAATGTAAGGAAAGCAATGGAGGGAGAGAGGAACTAGAACCAGAAGTCTCAGGTCTTCATTCTTTCTTCGCCATCATCTTCTAGGGGGCAACCTTGAGCAATTTCCTGCCAAATAAGCATTAGCATTCTCAAATTGTATGAAAATGTCATGGATTCCCCTCTTTGAAAGCAACTAGGCATCATGTGCACACCTATTCACTCAGGAAAAGGCTAAATTTGGTGGTGGGAGAACAGTTACACAAAGCTGTGCATTGCTACTTATAACAACAAATTGGAAACTATCTAAATGGTCAAGGTTAGGGGCTGGTTAAGTAGGAGATGAATGCAGCCAGTAGAGTTAAGAGCACAGACTGCCAACCCAGACTGGGTGCAAATTGCAGCACTAGCACTTTACATTGTGACCTAAGGGCAAGTTATTAACATCTCTGAGCCTCAATTTTCTCCTCTGTAAGATGAGGATAATAATGTCTACTTTCTTTTTCTTTTCTTTTTTTTTCTTTTTTTTTGAGATGGAATCTCACTCTGTCGCCCGGGCTGGAGTGCAATGGCACGGCCTTGGCTCACTGCAACCTCTAGCCCCTTGGTTCAAGCGATTCTCCTGCCTCAGCATCCCAAGTAGCTGACACTACAGGCGCTTGCCACCATGCTGGCAAATTGTTTTGTATTTTTAGTAGAGACAGCATTTCACCATGTTAGCCAGGATGGTCTCGATCTCTTGACCTCGTAATCCACCCATCTTGGCCTCCCTAAGTGCTGGGATTACAGGTGTGAGCCACCGTGCCCGGCAATAATGCCTACTTTCTAGAGTTATTTTGAGGCTTTCATGAGATCATACATACAAAATACTTAGCACAGTGCTAGACATAGTTAGCTATTATTTTTACATCACCATTCAGAATAAAGTTGATAGGAGGAAAAGGGGAGTTGTTTAATAGGTACAGAGTTTGAGTTTTGCAAGATGAAAAAGTTCTGGAGATCTGTTTCACAACAACGTGAATACACTTCACACTACTGAACTGTATACTTAAAAATGATTAAGGTGGGCTGGGCGCGGTGGCTCACGCCTGGAATCCCAGCACTTTGGGAAGCCGATGCAGGCGGATCACTTGAGGTCAGGAGTTTGAGACCAGTTGGGTAACATGGTGAAACCTCATCACTGCCCAAAATACAAAAATTACGTGGGTGTGGTGGCAAGTACCTGTAATCCCAGCTACTTGGGAGGCTGAGGCAGGAGAATCGCTTGAACCCAGGAGGCAGAAGTTGCAGTAAGCCGAGATTGTGCCGCTGCACTCCAGCCTGGGTGACAGAGGAAGACTCCATCTCAAAAAAAAAAAAAAAAAAAGAATAAAAAATTTAAGGTGGTTTTAAAAAAGAATAAAGTTGATGTGATTGTAATAACAGGGAAGGAGTTATGATCTTGAGTTAGGAAAAGACGCAAATTTCTACACTGCTAAGGATGCACTAGGTTGGAAAATGCAGAGAAAAATACTGAGTGCTCCTTCCCATTTTAGTTTTTTGCTACCACCATCCCACCATGGCTCACACCCTCATTCCTCTTGTCAAAGATAAAAAAGACCAATATTTAAACAAGTAACAAACTCCCCAAACGAAACTGTAATGAAATAGTAAAGAGGAACGAAAGAAACTAGAGAAACGTTTGCTCATTCAACCAGTATTAATTGAATGTCTGACATTTATTTTGTACTGTGTATGAACTCGATTACACAAAATCTGCTGCACTAAAAAGGACAGTGTTTTTCTTTTCTTGCTCTGTGCCTCAAAGCTTAATGAAAAATAGAACTTTTAATCAGAGTCATAATCATGATCAACTTTTAATAATTCAGTTGCTGTATTGCCTGCCACACTTTAGTTGGAGGTTGTGGGGGCCGGCCCTTGCTGACTTGCAGGCAAAAGGTAGCGCCAGGTGCATCCCTGAGCGGCCGATTTTCCAAGGCCGCCCCTGGGTACTGGAAGGAGAGGGGAGGTAGGGCCCAGCCGGATCGGGGGCGCCGGATCGGGTCTAGGGCTTCCCCCGGCTGCTGCCCTTCGCTATTTCTCAGGTGGGACGATGGCGGCAGCGACCTTGTGGGATAGGAGAGGGTATCTGTTATTTCACTTCTGCGAGATAAACATGCCAAAAAATTTAAAAAGAAAAAAAGGACAAAGAAAAACACTTCGTTGTCTTTTTCCTTTCTTAACCGAAACGTTTAAAAGATTTTAAAAGCCAAAATTGAGCCACATTGCGGCCATGGTTCCACTGGGGCTCGAACCCAGGACCTTCTGCGTGTAAAGCAGACGTGATAACCACTACACTATGGAACCTCTACGAATTAGCCCGTCGTTGGAACTTTATTCATCACATACAGGGCTTTCAGCCTCCTGCGCCGCAGCCCCGCCCCTTCACCGTGACCCCGCCCCTGAGTCATCGAGTTTGCGGTGGCTCCTGGCCTCTGGCTCCGGTATTGGGGCGGCTAGTCTTTTCTGCCCGTCAGAGTTGCGACCCCTGGGACCAGGGCAAAGCCGGGGCTCAGGCCGACAGCGCCTCCCCGTTACCAGTCCCCAAACTTTCCCTCAGCCGAGGCGCCGGCGGGGCGGCCCGGCGGCCGGAAGTGCACTCGGCTCGGGCTTGGCGCCCCTGGGAGCGCCCTCCGCCCGCGAGAGCCTCGCGCCTTCCGATTTTCCCCACCTACAAACTGAGCCTCGGCCCCCATCCCCGGCCCACTTGCCCGTCGGAAGTTAGAACGTCGCCTCCGGAGCAGGGAGGACAGGGGCAACCACTGGAACGAAGTCAGGCAGCGCAGGGGATGGGGGCGGGCCGGGGTCACTTTTGCGTTGGCGTCTGGCTTGCCAGGGTTAGAAAAGGCCGCTGGTTAGCTGGCTCCTTGCCCGAGGGTGTGGACCTCTTCCCGCTCCCCTGCCCCTTCCCGCAGCCTTCTACCCCTCCCGAAGCCAGGCCTAGCGGGGGGTGCAAGTGGCAGGGCTTCCGTTGAGTCCCCTTGGTCTAGGGCTGCGGGGGTGGGGCGGGGAGCGAAGAGGTGTAGACTGGGCCATCCCTCTATGGCTTCCAGGGAGGCAGCGGCCCTGGCCACGTAATTGAGGAGCCCAGTGTAAAATGAAGATGCCAGGCCCCTTGTTAAGTTCTTGAAAATTGCACACGGTAACTGCTGCGCATTCAACCAGGCACGGGGCTCCTTGACCCTACTTAGGTCCTGGCTCTGACTTGCTTGCAGGACTGTGGTCTAGGTAAGGGGCTGGGACCCTCCTTCACAAAGGGTGCTTCTTGCTTTTCATCATCAGTGTCGTTTGCCTTCTTCAGGGCTTCTGGATTGATCTGCATCACCACCCTAGGATTGCTTATCATCCTCCAGCTTGAAAACCCACCTGTAATCATTTGTGGGGACGTCTTTAAGCACCCAGGTGAACTTGGTCTGCAGGCGGCAGCTGTCCTTTTCATTGGATCTTCCGCCGAGGTCGGTAGGTTGATAAAGTCATACTGATTTTATGGCAGGAACTTCTTTAGGCAACTCCTGTCTTCTGGGAAGGACCTGGAAGAAACCACGTGGGTGCAGGGAACACTAATGGGTCACAATCTAGATGTTCATCCTGATTTGGCCACTCATGAGCTGGGTACTCGACCTAGTCAGTTCACCTCCCGTCTCAGTCTCCTCCTTTGTGAAATACAAGGATTGGACTAAACACCCCCACTTTCACCTCTGAGTCTCAATGTTATGCCCATCTTCCAGGTAGAAAAATGGAGGTAGTTATCTGCAATATAATTTTACCCCCAGAAATAGAGGCAGGCCAGCTAGTGTGTGGGTTTTCTAGTACCTGCTTCCCAATGTCCTCAGTTAGCTCACTCATACTCATCATGGGGCCCCTTCCAGTCTGGTTTTGTGGTGACACATTTTCAGAGGCCTCTCGAGTGCTCGAGGCCTAAATTGTGGGCTACCAGATGACCAGGAGTAGCCAGCCACCAGCCCGAGGATGCATTCGTGAGAGTTCCACGTTTCCCACTAGTCAGCAAGCCTCAACTCCTGGGAAGCCTGATAATAAGTATATCCCACCTGTTTCCAAACCCCTAGCAGTCCAGAACACAACTGCCAGGAATTGGCCCTAAAATTACACCCACTAGTTGTGTTTTGGATGGTGTCTCTAGGAAGTGCTTTGCTCTCCAGCCCCCTCCCCCCTCCCCCCTCCCCCGGATTTTTCTGTCCGCTCCTGGCTATAAAGATATGTTTGCTAAGTGCAAGCTTTGACCAAGTTCTCACACTGAACCTCCTGGTAGAAAACAAGCTAGTGTCCCTCTGTTGCATGCAACACAGGTGTCTGCCATTGGTGAAAAACTCTTGTTCCTTTTCTCCATTCCAGGAGGGAGACTGTGTTCTATTCTCGATCTATTGCCCAGACTGGAGTGCAGTGGCGCTATCTCGGCTCAGTGCCACCTGTTCCTCCCGGGTTCAAGCGATTCTCCTG